ATCAGTTGCCAAGCATCTGAATGTAAATCACAAGACCCGGAGATGCTGCAAAATTCCAGCTGATCGGCGCTTCTTCTGGGCTCAGCAGAAGCACCAGGATCAGTGCTGAACTCCAGCTGGAGCCTGTCGCTGATCCTGGCGCTTCCGCTGAGCCTTGACAGCCCTGCAGCTCCAGCAATCTCTTGCTCAGGCTTGTGCCACTGGTTCAGCTCATTCCCCTCCCCCATTACCACTTTTCTAGGATGGTCACGTACCACCTGCCAGGTGCCAATGTACCACAGGTGGTACCCGTACCACTGGTTGAAAAGCTCTGATCTAATATGCCAGCTGCATCCATATTTAGACCAGGGGGCATTTAAGAGAATTTCTCATGCTTTGGTCACCTTGCAATTAGACGACTGCCATGTGCTCTACACGGGGCTGCTCTCAAAGACCACTTGGAAGCTGCAACTGGTCCAGAATGTAGCCACATGGCAGTTATAAAAGGGCATGGCATGCCCATGCAACAATGCTGTGTGAGCTGCACTGGTTGCCAGTCACCTTCCACGTGTAATTTGAGGAGGTACTGCAGTTATCATCTTCGTAGTGTCAAATTAACTCAGAGAATGTGTCCAAACTCCAGGAGCCATGATTCCCATAGAATTGAAATTTGGCAAATTTTATAAAATATTAAATGACATAAAAATTATCATAAAACGGTGTTTATCACAGTGGTTCTCAACCTGTGGGTCGGGACCCCATTTGGGGTCGAACGACCATTTCATGGGGGTCGACAAACAACGCAGTCCGCCATTTTTTTCCCCTTTTCCTTAGCTGTGCTATTCCCTTTTATTCTATTGGCTTTTGAAAGCCAATAGAATAGACTCTCTTGAATAGAGTCTAATTCTATTGGCTTTCAAAAGCCAATAGGAATTGTCCAGGCTGTCTCTGTCCTGCTGAGCCCGCCAAAAGTCCCATTCTGCAAACGGTGCTGCACCAGTTGAGTAGTCCTCGACTTAAGACCGGTTGAATAGTCCTTGACTTACGACCGGTTGGGGGTTGCGGCATTAAAAAGGTTGAGAACCACTGGTTTATGACATAATACAGTGTCACAAAACATTTCCCGTGCTCATGTTTGATTGTGTTATACAGTTCAACAGGGCTATTTTTAAGGTGCAGATACCTCTGAATATATAGTATCCTGATTTTTCTGGTGAAGGCAGCACATTAGGTGTTGGAGGCATTGAGGAATCTGCTATGGTCCCCAGTGGTCCCCAACCTTTCCAGCTTTGTGGACCCGGGGGGGGGAGGGGAGAAGGAATGGTTCCATGTGAGCAGCAGGCACAAACAGTCCTGTGGAGCTCCATCTGCGTGCACGCGCAACCAAATGGAGCTTTGCGTGCACACACGAGTGCCCGCCATTCACGCAAATGAATTCAATATTTTATTAATAATTAAACCTTACGATATGTACGAATTATCTCCCTACATATTTTATTGCATTAATTGCCAAATGCCTCTGAGCAGCCACAGGTATACAGCTAATAAATAAAGACATATAAATACTGCACCTTACTGTTTATTAAATATAGCAGAAAGAGGATTTCCTTGCTGATTAGGAAGTCCGTGGCCTGCCAGATACAACATACAACTTCAGCTGGGCAAGGGTACTATGACTTCTGAAAGGAAAACATTCCCATCCCCCTGTATCAGGGGTGTCAAACTCAATTTCATTGAGGGCCGCATCAGCATTGCGGTTGTCCTCAGGGAGCCGGGTGGGTGTGGCCAGGGTGGGTGCAGCCTACTGGGTGGCCATGATGAGTGGGTGTGGCCTACTGGGTGGGCGTGGCCAGCTCTACATCATTCGCGTCAAGGGTGCCTATTTCCCCTATTTCTTCTTTTCTTTAGACTGGCATCCATTTAGGCACAGCAGAAGCAAAGTCAGCTCTGAGGTTTTCCTCTCAACCATGATTAAATGCAGTATGCCTTGAGATTGATGGATCAATGCACAGTTGAGAGATAACGAAGTGTAACCACAAGCATTTTAGCCTGAATTGGACAAGTTAGTGTCCCCCGTCCACCCACATCTGTATAACCTTTGCTTAGTTTTTTTTCTGCTCTTTTAATTTGTGGTCTCTTTGTTCTATAATGGAATGTTCCCAGCCTATGTATGTTCATAAGGGACCTAGATTTTATCAATACTTGCAGCAATGGCATGTGCTTGTCACACAAGAACCTAGGTGTCAGTTTTCTCTTGCTGGAACTTTTGACAAGAGACAAATTTAATTTTTGCGAAAGTTGTCTTGGATGCTGTCGACGTCTCCTTCAAACCGGGTAATTGGTCTGCTTTTGTGGTTTGGTTTGTAGAAATGGAAAAGCGGTGCAGAGAATAGCATTTGCAATCCTTCAACTATATCAAGGAAAAATGGAAAGATCATTGATTGATCTTAAGGCCTCTCTCGTAGCTGTTCAGGTTGCCGATGTCCATTAAGATTGAATCTTTCTCAACCGACTGGACTCTTTCCACATGAAGTATTAATGAGCAAACTTACAGTATACAGATGCCAGCCGCTCCGCCAACATTCCTATATCTAAAAGACACTCGTATGTTAGCCACTGTTTTGTTGAACTATTGCCAAGCTCTTCCCACATCTTTTAAAGACTGTCATTCATAGGTTGCAGTAGCTATGCCCAAGGAACCATTACATCCCTGCCATTCATTGAAAGTTGGTGATTGAGTTCTGACTGAAGTATTTCAGCATAAGAACTCTTTGGTTCCTCTTTGGAAGGGACCGTTCCAAATCTTGACCACCCACGCTGCTGTGAAGTGTCAAGGCCTGACCTCCTAGGTCAGAGGTGTCAAACTGCCGGCCCATGGGCCGGATGCGTCACGCAGAAGCCACGCCCACCTGATTGCCAGCAAAGCAAAACTGCCCTGAGATGTTGTGTGACGTCACATGACATCGCGAGTTTGACATGTCTGTCCTAGGTGCATGCTTTGCACTGTATTAAGGCACTGGCCCCAGATGAGGAAGCTGCACAACCCCAGCCATCCAAATCCAATAAAAGAGAAGCTTTGTCCAGCAAGGGAGTAAGTGCTGGTAACTTCTACTCCCCAGCAGCATATAACCTCTGCCCCAGGCTAACCGACAAGAGGTGAGCCTTGATCTGCCCTCCTCAGATAACTGAAGACCTTTACACCACCTTTCCCAACACAATGGAAGCCCAAAGGTGCATGAAGGATACACTCTGCATAAGATGCCTCAAGTCTGCTGTATGGCCTATGGTTGTGTTGTTGTTTATTGCCACTTGTTTCAATTTGTATAACACTTTGATGCCCTCCCTGGGTTAATGTAATGTACGGTTTCTCTATTTACTGGTCCTAATTGTGGTGGGGACTGTGAAAGGAAAAAATATCTTAATAATTATTTCTGTATAAATCAAACTTGTTTCTTTGATAGTCAATTAAAATAAAGGTTGGTGTCTGCTGAGAAATACTTAGTAAAAGAAAGAACTGTGACCTTTGCAATAGAGGGTGAAAGATTGTTGGGTTCCAGAAGTCATGGGTAGGCACAGTGCTAAGGTATAAAATATGCCTCAAGAGATAAGGGTGTTGCCACCTGGCCCAGCCGTCACACTTAATGACTGCTGTCCATTTGGTCCTTATTGCAATAAGTTGTTGAAATGCAAGTACTGAATTTGTGTATCAAATTTAAAATAAATCTCTGGATCCTAAAGTGAGAATTTTGTTGTGTGTTGTTTCTTGTTTCTCTTTAACAAGTTTTTCCCTTGACAACTTCAACTCCCAGAATTCTCTAGACAGCATGCCACTTACAACTGTTTGGTTTCCTTAAATTGAGCAATTGCTTCCATTTTTTTTGGTTATAAATATAAATGTGTTTTCCTGTTTGAAAATCATTGACCAGAGCCAATTATTCTCCATCACCTATAAATTAAGTCTGTCCATGGAATGACTCTGCTCCTCATTTTTTAGCATGTACTGAGAAAGATTCGCTATTGTCAGAATTTAAAGCTTCCCATACACACATGTAACGAATGCATGAATACAATCTTAAATATAATTCCAGATGTAAAAAGCAACAAAGTGGGTAATTTTTTGAGATGGGAGAGCCTGTACTTTATGTGTTGTTTCTAGCACAATTTAAAAGTCTGATGCAATGATCTTTTTACATCACAAGAATGCAATAAGGAAAGTTAGTCTTTTAAAATATTGATTTAAAAAAAAACAACGAACCAGTACTTTAGCTGAATATTATCAGTTCTTGTCACATCTTATATGGAAAAATACTGTCACATTCCTACGCATTATTCCCTTTTAGAAGTATGTATTAAAATATCAAAATTCTCTTATTAAATGTTCTTAGGAAATCTGTTAATTGCATCTTACTTTTGTTCTGCAAAGGTAAGTGCAAGATTCGTCTTGTGAAAGAAAGATTGCTGGAAATTCTTCTACAAAGTGGAGCAGGACATGTTGTGGAGATCTGTCCCTCACCCCTCCCAAACAAAAATGAACAGATAGCTGGGGCCACAAGGGGGATGTGCAGGAAGCATCACGCCAAATGTATCGGCAAGGGACAAGCTCTTATAGATGTCCAGGTATCCATCTGCAAGATAATTTCATGATTGATTAATCTAATTATATACAGTACACTAAAGTAAAGGTCAATAGAAAGATGGAGGGCAAGAGAAGAAAGGGACGACAGAGAATGAGGTGGCTGGCTGGAGTCACTGGAGCAGTAGGCGTGAGCTTAAATGGACTCCAGAAGATGGTAGAGGACAGGAAGGCCTGGAAGAACATTGTCCATGGGGTCGCGATGGGTCGGACACGACTCGCAACAACAAAAGTAAAAGGGAAAATGTCACCTGTAGCAATTATTATTTTTTAACCTATATATAAATCACAAGGTCATGGGAACAACCAAATTTTCAAAATGAATTTCAAATTGTTGCCCTTCCTGTGAGATGAGAAATATATATCATATAGAATAAAGGAGAACAGGTATTTGTGTCATTCAACAGTAGTTGTATTTTAGGAACTACACTTAAGATATTATGTATTTCCCACATATTTCCGCACATCACAGACACAATTTTTTTCCTAATAGCATGGCATCAAACACAAGATTAAAAAAACAAAAGTGACAGTATCTAAAACTGTCTTTTATCAGTGCATTGTAAACTAAGCTTTTGCACTACTAAACTGCAATATATTCTTTTCCCAAACCAATTATTTAGACATTTTTCAAATTTACACCTTTGGCAAAAAAAGAAAAACGTATCAGAATGCTGCATTTCAACTCATCTTCTTCGTTCTAATGAGACACCTTGCCTTTTCTGCGTAAGCTCTATACAACAGCAAAATTCCAGTTCCAGTCTGCGGTGCCATTTCACATCAAGGACTAAAGACAGGAATTGCTTTGTTTCAGCCAAAGGCAGAATGATTTTATTGATACTACTATTCATCAAGTCCAACATTGCCCTGGTCTTCCTGACAACCTCAGGAACGGTGGTCTTCTGTTGCCTCCTTATGGCTTGAAACTATATCAAAGGCTTCACTTGTAACAAAGCTGCAAGGCATTTTCAGGTTCCACCTTCCCCAAAACAGCCAAGGATCCTGGCTTCAGACACTTCTTCAGCTCTTTATAGAATTCACAGTAAACAGGAATGCAGAGAATCCCAGAAACTCTGGTTGTTACGTACAGATGTTGTCCCAATATCTAACTATCATCTATCTTGCTGGCAAAAAAAACCAATGACCCAGGGTGGGTCTTCTAAACTCTTGTAGAAAAGTGACTTCATGGCAAATGAAGAAGCTTTTCCTTGCTTATCTGGGAGTTAAACTCTAACATCTGCATTCCTATCTTAATGAAATACAAAGCCCATACTCATATTTCTTTCCAGACATAAGAAAGAGCAAAATGTGGGGGGGAGAGAAAGGGAAGCAATTTTGTTATAGCTTCGCTGCTCTCCTCTCTTCACCAATTGATCTGGTACTTAATTTGGCCTAGCGAAGGCAGAGTGCAACCAGGAATTAACCATGCATGGTTAAGTGAAAAATATGACACACAAGTTTTATTGACTAAGAGCACTCGCTATGGCTTGTCCCGTTCTATTAACATCCTGAGTGGAAAACAGTCCAATTCCTATACATAGGCATTTCTCCCAGTTTTAGAGAATTAGAAATCAATGTATTGTTTATGACAAAATGACACACTGGATTTAAAAGCTCTTAAGGTCTCCATCTCTTAACGTCCTTCATTTTTCTGTATCCCTCAAAAAGCTTTCGTTTTAAGACGTTGCGATATCAAAGAGAGGGTTGCCTTCAGGAAAATAACTTGGAAGTTATCCATGTTGATTCCTAACACTGAAATATAGAAGGAAAATCAAAACCGTTCCTCTAGGTAATTCTTATATAGGTGATTACAAAGGTGCTGTCACAAATAAATATCATCAAGTACCAGGTACCAACTGTTGTATCTAGGCAGACAGAGAACACAGAGTTACTGGTGATGGGTTCTTCCTTAGTAAGGATGAATTATTCTATAAGGTTTGCTGTAGTCGAAGGCGAGACGAATGCAACTTTTCAGAGTTTTAATCATTCCCCTGGATGAGCAGAGTGGATCAGAGCTGGACCAGGAATCCATCTGTTTTTAAGTGCTGTGTGCAATATTAGCACTTCATATCTTCCCCTTTTAGGTGAAACAATATCCTGCAGAAGTCCAAGATTACTCATACCGTCCTTTGATCATCATATTTAACAGGGGACCCACCTGCTCAAAGGAAAAACAACAAAACACAATGCTTTACTAGCAACAGATTTATAGCCGGGCTAGAAGTTATATTAAATTGCAAAACTATATATACACTCCGCCAGAAAATAAACATGAATATATAATGTCAGCACAATTCCCAAACTATTTTAAGGGCTCAACTCATGAGAATCTTTGCCGACTCTCTCCCAAGTAACACTGAGCTTTTTAAAAAGTATTCCTCAGTGATAACATTTGGTGAATACCTAGAACAGAGGTAGGCAACCTTGGCTCTTTTATGACTCGTGGACTTCAACTCCCTGAATTCCTGAGCCAGCATGGCTCAGCTTGGAAACCTCTCCCTTTCCTCTCAGCATGGCTGGCTCAGGAATTCTGGGAGTTGAAGTCCACCAAGTCATAAAAGAGCCAAGGTTGCCTACCTCTGTTCTAGAACTATACATACCACAAAGACGCCTTTTGTAAAAACTGGTCAACATACACATTGTCCTCACTGGCTGCAATTGGGACCAGCAACCTCACTGCTAAGCAAGGCTATGGTAAACTAAAATGTCATATCCAGATGTTCCAGATATAGTTAAGAATATATCACCGTAGTCATTGAACGTGACATCACATGACCAGGACTTTCAAATTCCTAGTGGCTTCCCCACTCATTTTGCTTGTTGGAAACCAGCTCTGAAGGTCTCCGAATGGCAATCGCATGATTGCAGAATGCTGTAATCATTGTGAAGATATGCTTGTTGCCACATGTCTAAAACTGTGATCGTGTGATCTCAGAGACATTGTGACAGCTTCAAGTTCAAGGACCGGTCCTTTCTCCAGCACTATTGAAAGAGTCGCTGAATAGCCAGTAAGAAAAGCTACCTTTATATTCCAAACAGTGCAGAAAGGTACGTTAATGTAAATATCGGAAGTCATGATTTATTCAATGTTTGAACAATCACTTTACAAGTGAGGAAACTTGTTCACATAAAAATTAAGGTGGGGTTTGATTTCATTTTAGCCACTCTCCTACTTAGCCTGAAAGTTGTAGCTACTCCAGCACATAAGCAATTTAGTTGGTGAATGAGGCATCTGCTTCAATTTATGCTTGCTTAAGCCAAGTCCGAACTTTCGTTCTTGACACAGAAAATGCTGAACTTATATTGCTTACTCTAGTAAACACAAAATCCCTCTTAAAGACTTGAGTAATACCGTGATCTTCTGGAGAATTGCTGCTAATGTTTTGAATGCTCTATCCCGGTGTCAACTTTGGCAATATGTATGGATTTCCAGAATTCTCCCAGCATGCTGGTATTTGAAATCTACCCATCTTAAAAGTTGCTAAGATTGAAAAATATTGCCCTATCCCAACCCACTCAATCGCCACTATTTAAGGGTGTTAAATATGTAACACCTTCAATTTGTTATGCTATTAATTTTATGCAGTCAGAAACTGAACAAGCTCAGCCTCAGAGTTACTACAACCAGCCTGAGATTCACACTTTACCTCTTGTGGATTTCCAAGGGCCTCCCCCAACATTTTCTCTATGTTCCTCATCACAGCCACTTTCTGATGAGCCTTTAGGGGATATTCAATCCTTTTAGGGGTTGGGGCACCCTGCATGGGGGAAAAATACCTTCCTTAAACAAGGGTTTATCAAATTGCAATATTTACAAAAATGAAATTGAAAACAGATTCCGACAGAGATATCGGTTATCTGGACACTATTATTCATATCCTTGATTCTGGGGTACCAGGAAGATCAAAAGGAAACTGAAGAGATCAATAGGTTTACAAATGATTCACTGTGCTTAAAAAATTCACATTCACCCAACACTAAATAAGCAAGTAGCTACTAAAAGTCAGGGATGATAAAAGGTGAGTTAGTATTTTCTTATCCACCAAATAGCACATATCGTATGAAAAGGAGGTGTTTAGGCAAGTTTGTGACTGGTCAAAAATACTATTTCTAATACAACCACTCATTTTCTTAACAACAAAAGCGTATTTCTCTAAAGAAAGTCATTTTAGTGAAGTGGTATCAGACTAGAAACTAGAATGGAATAGAATAGAGCTGGAAGGGACCTTGGAGGTCCTAGTCCAGCCCCCCACTCAGGCAGGAGAACATATGCCATTTCAGACAAGTGACTGTCTAGCCTCTTCTTAAAAATCTCCAGTGATGGAGCGCCCACGATTTCTGAAGGCAAGCTGTTCCACTGTTAATTGTCCTCACTGTTAGGAAGTTTCTCCTTAATTCCAGGTTGCTTCTCTCTTTGGTCAGTTTCCAAACATTGTTTCTTGTCTTGCCCTCTGGTGTTCTGGAGAATAATTTGATGTCCTCTTCTGTGTGGTAGCCTCTCAAATACTGGAATACTGCTATTATGTCACCCCTATTTCTTCTTTTCTTTAGACTAGCCAAACCCAAGTCCCGCAGCCATTCTTCATATGTTTTAGCCTCCAGACCTTGGATCATCTTAGTTGCTCTTCTCTGAACTTTTTCCAAGGTCTCAACATCTTTTTTGTGATATGGTGACCAAAATTGGCTGCAGTATTCCAGGTGTGGTCTCACTAGGGTTTTATAAAATGGTACTAATATTTTGCATAATCTTGATTCTATGCCTCTGTTTACACAACCCAGGATTGTATTAGCTTTTTTGGCAGCTGGTGCACATTGCTGGCTCACAGTCAAGTGATCGTCCACTAGGACTCCAAGGTCCCTCTCACAGTTACTGTTTTTGAGCCATGTCTCACCTAATCTGTATTTATGAGCCGAGGTGGCGCAGCAGTTAGAGTGCAGTACTGCAGGCCACTTTAGCTGACTGTTCAGCAGGTCAGTGGTTCAAATCTCACCGGCTCAAGGTTGACTCAGCCTTCCATCCTTCCGGGGTAGGTAAAATGAGGACCCAGATTGTTGGGGCCAATGTAAATATCTATATACATTGCTTACTGGTGTACACCGCTTAGAGAGTGCTTGCACTTAAAGCAGTATATAAGTCTCATAAATAAATAAATATCTTTGATTTTTCCTGCCTAAATGTAAAACTTTGCTTTTCTCCACATTAAAAATCATTTTGTTGGACAGGGCCCGTTGTTCCAGTTTGTCAATTTCTTTTTGAATCCTGAACTTATCTTCTGGGGTGTTCAGTTATTCCTGCCAGTTTAGTGTCATCTGCAAATTTGATGAGTTCTTCTATTCCCTCATCTAACCCTAACCCTAAGTCATTGGTGAAGATATTGAAGAGTACTGCGCCTAAGACGGAGCTTTATGGTATCCCACTGCTTACTTCTTTCCGTGTGGATGTAGTACCATTGAGGACTATTGGTTGAGTATGGTTTGTCAGCCAGCTACAAATCCATCTGGGGGTGATGTTGTCTATTCCACCTTTTTCTAGCTTACCAAGCAGTAGATTGTGGTCTACTTTGTTGAATGCCTTACTGAAATCTAAGTATACTATGTCCACAACATTTCGCTGGTCTATTAATTTAGCTACTTTATCAAAGAATGAAACAAGATTGGTTTGACATGATCTGTTTTTAACAAACCCGTGCTGGCTACCAGTTATAACTTTGTTTGCTTCTAATTGTGCACAGATCTGTTTTTTGATTATCTTTTCCAGGATCTTCCTAGGTATTGATGTTAAACTGATTAGTCTGTAGTTTCCTGGGTCCTTTTTTTTCCTTTCTTGAAGATGGGAACCACATCAGCCCTTTTCCAGTCCTCAAGTACTTCCCTCAGGTGCTCCAGGATTTATGAAAGATATGGTGCAATGGTTCTGAGATAACATCTGCCAGCTCCTTCAGAATTCTAGGACGTAATCTGTTGTTTAAAATTTTTGTTTCTGGTTTGTCTCTTGCAGTGGTTTTTTGGGTGTGTTGTGCTATAATTTCTTTTTGTGTGAAGACTGATACAAAGAATAAATTAAGCAGCTCTGCTTTCCCCCTGTAGCTTGTTACTTCCTTACCATCTTCTCTCTTTAGTGGACCTACAGTTTCCTTTACTTTTTTCTTGATATTAATATGTTGAAAGAAACTTTTTTTTTATTATCCTTGATTTCTGTTGCAAGTCTGTGTTCATTCTGAGTCTTTGCTTTCCTGACTTCGTCTTTGCATGTTCTGGCTGTCTGCTGATAATCAGCCTTAGTTATGTGTCCCTCTTCCCATTTTTTGTACTTGTCCTTTTTGACTTTCAGTGTCTGAGAAATCTTTGTGCAGCCATGCTGGTTTCTTCTTGACTTTCTTGTTTTTCTTTTTCAGTGGTATTATGCTGAACTGGGCTTTTATGATAGCATTTTTCAGAGTTTCCCATGCTTCTTGAATTGTTGAACTAGGAAACTATGAGTTCTAGTCCTGCTTTAGGCACAAAATCAACTGTGTGACTTTGGGCCAATCACTCTCTCAGGCCTATAAAGAAAAGGACGAGGACAAACTGGTTTTGAAATCTTACCAAGGAAACTGCAGGAACTATTCTAGACAGTCACCAGGAATCAACATTGACTTGAAGGCATATATACACTTCTCTCTAGAAAAGCTAGGATTAAGAGTTCACTATTTCAAGTATTACAAGGTTCAACAAGGTTATCTCTAAGATAATACTTAAGAAACCAAGTTAAGAATTCAAGTCAATTTTAGCAACTGACGCAATTCTGATCATTTAAATAAAGTATAGATTTTATGATGCAGTAATGTAATCAATATCATACTGCACTGTATAATTTTGCAATTAAAACACAAGTCTGTTTATAAAACTTCATACTGCTATTATATTAAATTCAGACATACTTACCTTGTACCAAAAGTTTACAGTAATGGTAATTCCTCCATTCAGCAATGACTCAATGTGATGCCACCTATATCAAGCCACAAAAAATAAGTCTTTTAATATTCCTAATATAAATTAATATAATATAATATTATAATTATAATATTATAATTAATAATATTTTAGCATTTCCAATATTAGTTTTACAAAAATACTGAACATGTTGTAGGATAATTAAATTGTGATTTAGTTATTTCTTTTCTTCATTTTGGGGAGAAAAAACTATATAGTCTATTATACTTTGGTCATGAAATCAGATCAAATCATGTGATTACTTGCTGGTTGCAAAGTGGTTGAATCTCAATCACATGACCCTGGGGATGCTGCAACAATCATATGGGCAAGGACCAGTTGTAAGATTACTTTTTCAGTGCCATTATAACAGGGGTCTTCAAATCTGGTTCTTTTATGACTTGTGGACTTCAACTCCCAGAATTCCTCAGCTGCTGGCTGAGGAATTCTGGGAGTTGAAGTCCACAAGCCATAAAAGGGCCAAGTTTGAAGACCCCTGCATTATAACTTCAAATGGTTACTAAACAGGGCAGGTGTTAAACAAAGACCACCTGTGTCTGTAAGTATAACTTTGATAATGGCCTGGACAATTGCTTCATTTAGTAGCTTCCCCAAAACTGTCATGGTAAATGTTTATAAGAACATACAGTGGGGCAAAAAAGTATTTAGTCAGCCACCAATCGTGCAAGTTCTCCCACTTAAAAAGATGAGAGAGGCCTGTAATTGTCATCATAGATAGACCTCAACTATGAGAGACAAAATGAGAAAACAAATCCAGACATCACATTGTCTGATTTGGAAAGAATTTATTTCCAAATTATGGTGGAAAATAAGTATGTGGTCAATATCAAAAGTTCATCTCAATACTTCGTTATATATCCTTTGTTGGCAATGACAGAGGTCAAACGTTTTCTGTAAGTCTTCACAAGGTTGGCACACACTGTTGCTGGTATGTTGGCCCATTCCTCCATGCAGATCTCCCCTAGAGCAGTGATGTTTTGGGGCTGTCGCTGGGCAACACGGACTTTCAACTCCCTCCAAAGGTTTTCTATGGGGTTGAGATCTGAAGACTGGCTAGGCCACTCCAGGACCTTGAAATCATTGTAATGAGATAAGATTGAGATTAGAGTGATGTTATTGTAAAGTTTTTTGTCTCTTATATTAGTAATTAATTGTGAATATGAACTGAGATGTATGTCAATTCTGATTTACCATGTTCAATGTTTTTAATTTTTGTTATTCAATAAAAATATTTTTATAAAAAAAAAAAAGAAATGCTTCTTACAAAGCCACTCCTTCGTTGCCCGTGTTTGAGATCATTGTCATTCTGAAAGACCCAGCCACGTTTCATCTTCAATGCCCTTGCTGATGGAAGGAGGTTTGCACTCAAAATCTCACGATACATGGCCCCATTAATTCTTTCCTGTACACGGATCAGTCGTCCTGGTCCCTTTGCAGAGAAACAGCCCCAAAGCATGATGTTGCCACCCCCATGCTTCACAGTAGGTATGGTGTTCTTTGGATGCAACTCAGCATTCTCTCTCCTCCAAACACGACGAGTTGTGTTTCTACCAAACAATTTTACTTTGGTTTCATCTGACCATATGACATTCTCCCAATCCTCTTCTGGATCATCCAAATGCTCTCTAGCAAACTTCAGATGGGCACGGACATGTACTGGCTTAAGCAGGGGGACACGTCTGGCACTGCAGGATCTGAGTCCCTGGCGGCATAGTGTGTTACTGATGGTTGCCTTTGTTACGTTGGTCCCAGCTCTCTATAGGTCATTCACTAGGTCCCCCCATGTGGTTCTGGGATTTTTGCTCACCGTTCTTATAATCACGTTGACCCCACGGGGTGAGATCTTACATGGAGCCCCAGATCGAGGGAGATTATCAGTGGTCTTGTATGTCTTCCATTTTCTAATTATTGCTTCCACAGTTGATTTCTTCACACCAAGCTGCTTGCCTATTGCAGATTCAGTCTTCCCAGCCTGGTGCAGGTCTACAATTTTGTTTCTGGTGTCCTTCGACAGCTCTTTGGTCTTCACCATAGTAGAGTTTGGAGTGTGACTGTTTGAGGTTGTGGACAGTGTCTTTTATACTGATAACATTCAAACAGGTGCCATTAATACAGGTAATGAGTGGAGGACAGAGGAGCCTCTTAAAGAAGAAGTTACAGGTCTGTGAGAGCCAGAAATCTTGCTTGTTTGTAGGTGACCACATACTTATTTTCCACCATAATTTGCAAATAAATTCTTTCCAAATCAGACAATGTGATTGTCTGGATTTGTTTTCTCCTTTTGTGTCTCATAGTTGAGGTCTACCTACGATGACAATTACAGGCCCCTCTCGTCTTTTTAAGTGGGAGAACTTGCACAATTGGTGGCTGACTAAATACTTTTTTGCCCCACTGTATATAGTGAGGGAAAAAAATATTTGATCCCCTGCTGATTTTGTACATTTGCCCACTGACAAAGAAATGATTGGTCTATAATTTTAATGGTAGGTTTATTTTAACAGTGAGAGACAGAATAACAGCAAAAAATCCAGAAAAATGCATTTCAAAAAAGTTGTAAATTGAGTTGCATTTTAATGAGTGAAATAAGTATTTGACCCCTTCGCAAAACATGACTTAGTACTTGGTGGCAAATCAGAGGTCAGACGTTTCTTGTAGTTGGCCACCAGGTTTATACACATCTGAGGAGGGATTTTGTCCCATTCCTCTTTGCAGATCCTCTCCAAGTCATTAAGGTTTCAAGGCTGACATTTGGCAGCTCGAACCTTCAGTTCCCTCTACAGATTTTCTATGGGATTAAAGTCTGGAGACTGGCTAGGCCACTCCAGGACCTTAATGTGCTTCTTGAGCCACTCCTTTGTTGCCTTGGCCATGTTTTGGGTCATTGTCATCCTGAAATACTCATCCATGACCCACTTTCAATGCCCTGGCTGAGGGAAGGAGGTTCTCACCCAAGATTCAACAGTACGTGGCCCTGTCCATCGTCCCTTTGATGCAGTGAAGTTGTCCTGTCCCCTTAGCAGAAAAACACCCCCAAAGCAAAATGTTTGACAGTGGGGATGGTGTTCTTGGGGTCACAGGCAGCATTCCTCCTCCTCCTCCTAACATGGCAAGTTGAGTTGATGCCAAAGAGCTCAATTTTGGTCTCATCTGACCACAACCCTTTCACCCAATTCTCTCCTGAATCATTCAGATGTTCATTGGCAAGCTTCAGACTGGCCTGGACATGTGCTTTCTTGAGCAGGGGGACCTTGTGGGTGCTGCAGGATTTCAGTCCTTCACGGCGTAGTGTGTTACCAATTGTTTTCTTGGTGACTATGGTCCCAGCTGCCTTGAGATCATTGATAAGTTCCTCCCGTGTAGTTCTGGGCTGATTCCTCACTGTTCTCATGATCACTGAAACTCCACAAGGTGAGATCTTGCATGGAGCCCCAGACCGAGGGAGATTGATAGTTATTCTGTGTTTCTTCCATTTGCGAGTAATCGCACCCTTGTTACCTTCTTACCAAGCTGCCTGGCGATAGTCTTGTAGCCCATTCCAGCCTTGTGTAGATCTACAATCGTGTCCCTGACATCCTTGGACAGCTCTTTGGTCTTGGCCGTGGTGCAGAGTTTGGAATCTGATTGATTGCTTCTGTGAACATGTGTCTTTTATACAGGTAGCAAGCTGAGATTAGCACTCCCTTTAAGAGGGTGCTCCTAATCTCAGCTCATTACCTGTATAAAAGACACCTAGGAGCCAGAAATCTTGCTGATTGATAGGGGATCAAATACTTATTTCATTCATTAAAATGCAAATCAATTTATAACTTTTTGAGATGCGTTCTGGATTTTTTTTTCTTTTTTGGTTATTCTGTCTCTCACTGTTAAAATAAGCCCACCATTAAAATTATAGGCCGATCATTTCTTTGTCAGTGGGCAAATTTACAAAACCAGCAGGAGATCAAACAATTTTTCTCTCACTGAAAGGATGTGTCCCAAATGTAAATCTTACAGCAGAAAAAGGGATCAACCTTTTTCTGCATATGAACAAGTATCAAGGATTATTGCTATTCCTGCAGGGGGCACTTTACAAACAGAAAAATATCTATCCTAGTCAGAGCAAAAGACACGAGGTTCAGAGCCTCTGCTGCAGCTCATTCTGTCCCATTCTCATCCCAGATGTTTTACCAATACATGGGAATATATAGCACATCGCCTGGGCCAACTACGGTTTCATAGCCAACTATGTTCTGGAAATTAGGAAACTTCTCATAGTCGGGTTTGTCGAAGTCAACCTAGCAGGAGAGAAGAAGGCACCACTGAAGTCACTGGAAACAACACAACGATTCTCCCTGTGCTTCCCACCCCGGCTACTTCAAAGAAAATGAACTTCGTTACTAACTTTAACTAGAGATCAAAACCACCACCTTCAAGAAACTGCGCTCTACTTCCCACCAGTTACTCTTTTTGTTGATTGTGAGTGACTACACTCAGCATTTTTGTTCACTAGTTTAAGATGCAATCAGCCAATGCTGCCAAGCAAAGAAAAACACGGAACACATATATGAAAATACCAGGTATTTATAGAGCGTTGATTGGCAGGATTGTGCTATATCGATAAAAATCAAGATCTAATCTGGCCTTATTTAAGTGATCTAATAACCAAGTAAAGCATTCTTGAGATGTCTGAAATAATTGCAAACATTAAGCTCATGACAGTAGCCTGGAAGGACTATAAATCAGCACGCCTGACAGCTACTATAACTTTCTAGTAAAGTGTAAATTTGCGGGAGTTTTTTAAGCTCCGCTGATTGGGGAACCAATTTAGAAAGACCAACAGAGGGATATAATGATGCAGAGCTAACTGGAGATTAACAATTATCTCACCAGCAGATTGTTGAAATGGAAGAGATGATCTACTTAGTTGCCCTCAAATATCCTCTCCTTTACTGCAGGGTACCCTGATTACTGAGGAACCCGGATGCTGAAACAAGCATGAGAATATCAAAGCACAGCATCCACATCCATTGCATAGACTTTCTGAATGACTGGTGGAATTCTTAGATGCAAAGCTGGTGCATCAATCTCACTTGGCATTTCAAAGAGAAGGCGGTCAACATTCTCATTATTGCAGTTCCAATAAAAGAGATGGAAACACTGGTGCATGCTTGGCATCACCCCTAATTTTATTAATTCATCTTTATATGCAATTTCAAGTGACCAAGACTACGGACAAATTGTATGGAGGCTGCAGCTACTTTTCTCAGTGCTTTATTCTTGCCTAACTTTTGACTTCCGTGAATACCAGTAGGTGACTTACTGGGTGAATCTAAAGATGCCTGACTCTTCTACGAAAGGAATTAGTATCATTAATATCCTGTTGAAGACCAAGTTCTTGAAGAGGGTGGAGACAATATATCTCCAAATATTTTTGGATGAAGCAAACTGTTGGGAACTAGACCAAATCCCATCAGCCAAAAGCAATATAGCTAACAGTGAAGGATGAAGAAATGTATAATTCAACATATGGTGTGGACAGATTTCTTACTTCTGATCTAGATCCACTCTGGCTTTAACTTGTATTCCAGAAGGGGGCTGGGACTCTATGGCCTAAACCAAGGGTATCAAATGAAGGCCCATAGCCCGGATGCGTCATGCCAAAACCGCGCCCACCCCATTGCCGGCAATGGAAAAAAAGTCGCGATACGTCATGACCTGTCACTTGACGTTGCGAGTTTGACACCCCTGGCTTAAACTGTCCCTTTCAAGCAAGGTGAATAAACCAGAGGTTGGTGTCCTCATTTAGCAAGTGACCAGTAATACTCTTCCAGAATTAATTCATTTACTTTTGGGCATTACATTAAAACTATACAGTAAGACTAGGTCCCATGGGAAGCAATAGTTGTTTTATTATTATTATTATTATTATTATTATTATTATTATTATTATTGATCATCGCATAGTCAGCCAGATGTTCAGACTGGATTTGGCATTTTTGTCTACCTATCGAGTCCTTACCAAGGACCTGGGATAGGCAGATGTGGATGTTTGATGGTATTACAGATATCGTCGCAGGATGGAAGCAGTTCCTAATAAGGCCGTCTTTTGCAACTGACTAATGGCAAATTTTTCGATGCCAATGTTGTTCAAGTGGTGCTCCAGTTGTTTTGGGATTGCACCCAAGGCGCCTATTACTATTAGTACTACTATTGGTAGTACTATTGTACTATATTGTACTATATTGTACTATAGTATTACTACTATATTATTATTGTTGTTTGTTGTTTTGTTTGTTGTTGTTGTTGTTGTTATTTTGGATCATTGCACAGTCAGCCAGATGTTCAGACTGGATTTGGCATTTTGTCTAACTATTGAGTCCTTACCCAGGACCTGGGATAGGCAGATGTGGATGTTTGATGGTATTACAGATATCGTCGCAGGATGGAAGCAGTTCCTAGTAAGGCCACCTTTTGCAATTGACTAATTGCAAATTTGTCAATGCCAATGGTGTTCAAGTGGTGCTCCAGTTGTTTTGGGATTGCCCTCAAGGAGCCTATTACTATTGCTTGCTTGTTTTTGCCACAGTCTTTCTATTTCTATTTGCAGGTCTTTGTATTTTGTTATCTTCTCCAGTTCTTTCTCGTCTATTCTGCTATCTCCAGGCACTGCCACGTCCACTATCCAGACTTTTTTGTCTTTCTTATCGACAATTGTTAAGTCTGGGGTGTTATGTTGCAGGTGCTTGTCTGTTTGAATTCTGAACTCCCAGAGCAGTTTAATTTTATCATTTTCTATGACTTTCTCTATTTTATGATCCCACCAGTTTTTGCTTACAGTCAAATGATATTTTTTGCAGATCTTCCAATGCACCATTGTTGCTACTTTGTCATGCCGCTGCTTGTAGTCAGTCTGTGCAATCTTCTTGCAACAGCTTACCAGGTGGTCCACTGTTTCTTCAGCTTTTTTGCATAGGCGGCACTTACTGTCTGTTGCTGTCTTCTCAATTTTGACTTTATATGCGTTTGTCCTTAAGACTTGGTCTTGTGCAGCCAGAATTAGTCCCTTGGTCTCTTTCTTCAATTTTCCTGCTCTTAGCCATTGCCAGGTCTTATTATTATCTGCTTTCCCAGCTATTTTTTTCACGTATTGGCCATGTAGTGCTTTGTCTTCCCATGCCTCTATTCTGTTCTTCATTTGGTCTTTCTTGTAGGCCAATTTGGTCTCTCCAGTAGTCAGTAAGCCTTCCTGATATACTAATTTCAGTGCATCTTCATCCTTGTTCTTCAGATATTCTTCCAAAGCCATTTTTTCTTCTTCAACCATTTGATGTACTTGTAGCATTCCACGCCCACCTATTTGCCTTGGTAGATAAAGTCTATCAATGTCACTGAGTGGATGAAGGGCATGATTCATTGTCATTATTTTTCTGGTCTGCCTATCCATTGCTTTTAGTTCTGCTTGAGTCCAGTCCACTATTCCAGCTGTGTACCTAATGACTGGGATTGCCCAGTGTTGATTGCCTTTATGGTATTTCCTCCATTGAGTTTGGATTTTAAGATCTTCTTCACTCTCTTGATGTATTCACCTCTAATCTTTTCCTTGACTTCAGTGTGCTTGATGTTGTCAGCTTGAAGGATACCCAAGTATTTGTAGTACTCTTCCTCATCCAGACTCTTAATGTTATTTTCGTGGGGCATTTTGATTCCTTCAGTTTTCATTATTTTTCCTTGTTTGATAGTAAGTGTGGCACATTTGTCCAAGCCAAACTCCATTACAATATCTTGGCTATATATATGGACAGTGTTGAGCAGCAATTCTATTTCAGATGATGTTTTTCCATACAGCTTCAGATCATCCATGTAAAGGAGGTGGGATAGTCTAGCAGATGTTTTTGATGTTTGATAACCATGTCCTGAGTTATTCAGTATTGTTGACATAGGAAACAGTGCAATAACAAATAGTAATGGTGATAATGAATCTCCTTGAAATATTCCTCTCTTGATATTAACCTCTCCCAGCCTCTCACCATTGATCTGCAACTGTGTCTTCCATTGTGCCATCGCTCTTTGCACAAATTTTCTGATGTTTCTACTGACTCCTGTTATTTCTAGGCACTTGATTATCCAGTCATGTGGCAGAGAGTCAAATGCATTTTTGTAGTCAATCCATGCCACATTCAGGTTGGTCTTCCTTCTCTTGCAGTTTTCCAAGATCATTTTGTCTATTAGGAGTTGATCTTTTGTTCCTCTGCTATTGGGGCGGTTTCCTTTCTGCTCAGGTGGAAATAGATTGTTTTCAACTAGATGCTGTTGTACTGCATCAGCTACCACACCAGTTAGTAATTTGAAAGTTGTTGGTAAGCAGGTAATTGGCCTGTAGCTGCCTGGTGTTGCCCCTTTTGCTGGATTTTTCATTATTAGGTAGGTTTTCCCAGTTGTTAGCCACTTTTCAATTTCTTCTCCTTGTAGTATATTGTTGAACTGCTTGGCAGTGAGTGGGTGTATAACAGTTAGATGTTTCAACCAAAACCCATGTAGTTCATCTTCACCTGGTGCTGACCAATTTTTGATTTTCTTTGCTCTTTTTTCTACCATTTTTGTTGTTATTACTAGTTCTTTCATTTCAACTTCTTTTTTATTTGCATCCACCTCTTTTAACCAAGCCGCATCCTTGTTGTATTTCTTTGGGTTATCCCATATCTGCTTCCAGAACTGCACTGTTTTTTTCTTGTCGGGTACTGACTGATTCCTTGCAGTTTCTCCATTGATGGATTGGTAGAAACGTTTCTGATTGGATTGAAATTGGAGGTTCTGCCTATAATTTGCAATTCGAGCTTCATATCTACTGATTTTCCTGGCTATAGCTGTTATTTGTTGCTTTATTATTTCCAGTGCTTCCGTGATCTTCCTTGTTTCTAAGTGGTATTTCTTGATTAGGTATTCTTTGGTCTTCTTGTTCTTCAGCTTCTTTTCTTTCATCTGTTCTAGCTTGCTTGCATGTGATCTTAACTTGCTGATCTTATTTTCTAGTCTAACCTTCCATTTTTGTGGTGCACTGTTTGTTTGTTTTTCTTCTTTTTTGATTTTGCATCCCAGGTATTCTGTTATAACTGCAGCTGTGCTGTACATTAGTTGGTTTGTTTCTTGCAGTGAATTGGTTCTTATACTTGATATTGCAGTATTTGCATCTTTTAATGCTTGTGCTAGCTGTTTCTTTGGAACAAGCTTCAATGCAGGTAGCCTTATTCTGTTGTTTTTGTGCTGTTCTAGATGCTCAGTTATTCTTTGTTTCAATTCTTTTATTTCTTTAGTTAGAGAGTTTTGTTCTTCCTGAGGTAGAGGTGCCTGGTTTCCAAATGAGAACAGTTGTATATCTCTATCGGATTCTTTCACTGCCAACTCCCCCTGGTTTGCCTCTACATTCTGAATTACTTCTGGTCTTTGATTTCTTTGCCCTGGGTAAACCTTTGCAGTTTGTCCTATTCTGTTTCTGTGAATACTTTATTTCGTATTATAAATCGGCGTTGATCTGCTAGTCTCTCTTCTGTTATTTCTGATTCTAGATGTTGTTCTTTCCAGAACTGGTGTATCCTCTTCTTGTTGTACTTGATCTGTAGTAACAGATCATTATTTCTTTGTTTTCAATCACTGTGTATCTGCGATGGATAAACACCTTTTCTTCCAGTAGTTCGGCAGCTGCTGGCCCTGGTTGCTCAGCCAACAGTCCTGAGTCCTGTAACCCATTTTTCAGCAGATATCCAGGAACTCCAATATCTAGCGCGGACCTTGTTAACCCGAGCGACATCCGAGCCGGTATGGCATTCTGTAATTACGTCTCACCATATTTTTTATGGGAGAGACACTCTTTGTCTGACTCCTCTGATGAGACCTATCCAGTATGGTTGAACCTCTGGCATAGCTCTCATCTTCCTCAGAGTACACAAGCCCCACAACCACGTCAAGGTAGTGCCTCACTGGGGGTATTATTATTATTATTATTATTATTATTATTATTATTATTATTATTATTATTATCATCATCATCATCATCATCATCATCATCATCACTATTAGCTGCTGGAAAAGAAATTGTCACTGTCAGCTCCTGGTCCTCCAACAAGCAAATTTACAAAGAAATCTCTGTTAGAAGATCCAATAGTAGAACCCTACAGACAGAATGAGGGGAGTTTATCCAGCCTCACTCTTTTTAGTACCCTCCCTGTGAGTCTGTAGGAGGACTCTACAGACAATTGCAACAGAAATGAAAAAAACTAAAGAGAACTCTTTTTTAAATTCTCTACAACGCTGTCTCATGATGATAATTAAATAAGTATTAATCTCTAGTAAACAGTTTAGATTACTCTTTTATTTTATCACCAAACAGCCAGCCCTGCAGTTGTATGAGGCTAACACTTCCCAGCCTACTTAGATAAAGATTTAGTTGACTGCTTTAGTTGTCTGGATAAGGATATTCTTATGATACATTAATTTTCCATGATTGAGTTAAGTGCATCATATGATCATTTGCTATATATCTAAGAACTTCTCAGGCAGATGGTTAGAGCAGGGGTCTCCAACCTTGGCAACTTTACAATTTGTGGACTTCAACTCCCAGAATTCTGGGAGTTGGAAGTCCACAAGCCCTAAAGTTGCCAAGGTTGGAGATCCCTGGGTTAGAGAAAATACAAAGGTACGTACGAATTTTGTAATAAACCAGCTTTAAAAATTATGCTTTGTGTCTTAGGCAAAAAATATGATTTGACCAAGATGTCATCTCACCTGGCTTTGCCGGTCACATGGATGGTGCACGGGATAAGGATAAAGGCATTCAAATTGATCAGGTGAAAACAGAATACATCGTTTGTATCCTTTAATCTGAGCGAAGAAATTCTGCTGTTCATCATAGTGAGCTGGTGTCACATTTCCTGCATAAAGCAAGACCGAGACAAATTTCTGGAATTATTTTACAAAATGTGAACTTTAATTTCCAGCAGGTCTTTGTTCTACAGGTTATTGGGAATGGCTGCACAAATTTCATCCCACAACTGCAGATGTCACCAAAATGGCACCACGTCCAGGATAGTGCCACACAGCCTCCCTTTTATAGGAAGACTGTGCAATGGAGCAGCTGCTTCCCAAAAATCGACCAAAAAGGTAAAGTGATTGATCCATGATTAAGGGGGTGGAGGGAGGGGGGAGGCAGCAGAGTGGAAAGCTACCCCAAGACATGCAGGGACCCAGTAGGATGGGAAGACAGACAGATGGGGCACTGCAATGGCCATAACTTCAGGCAGGGGTTTTAAGTCCCTTTGTTCAGAGCCCTAGTTTTGAATGGTTCTAAGTCAAAAGAATATGTCAGAACCCATTTCTATTTCATTTCTATCTATCTCCTCTGATCTAAAAACAAATCTCACCTTTCCCTGGATTCTGCCATACTCCCAAGGGGGAGGGAGGATATGCCTGTGGTGTTATTGCTTTCACTTCTATTTGCTACAATGTAACCTTTTGCTTTATTGCCTGTGTCTGCTGCCTGCTACAATGTAACAATTTGCTTCCTGCGCTATGTCTCTCTCTGAACTTTATCTTCCCAAACTGTTAGCTAGAACAAGGGAGGAAATAAGGAATGTAACCGACTGCCTGGTTTATTTCTACGCTCTCAGAGGAAGGTGTGAAGAAGCCGCTGACCATCGCTGCATGAACTGGAGATGGGCCATGTTATCCCCCCTTTTCCTACAATGGACTTAACACCTGGGGATTGGCCGTCCCATACTGGACGGGCAGACTATGGGGTGGGATCTAGTTTGGGGATACCTTAACCTATCACTCTGCGCAGGAAATCTCAGCTCCTGTCTATTATGCCTGCTATCAACTACTCTTAATAAAAGTTCCTGTTGAAAGAAATTGTTTCCAAGAGTTCTGCTTTCTTAAGATGTGGGGTTGAAGTGGGTCCCTACAGACTAACTGTATGAATATCCAAGCAGCCTGGGGTCATATCTGATTATCACCACATAATTTTCAACAAAATGTGGTTCTTGTTGTTTGTCAGCTCCCAGCTTAACTTAATCAAGTCTCTGGACTCTCCCTCTTAGTCTAACTGGAACATGTTGAGAATATTGTATTAGGTAAGATTATAACTGAGAAGAAAACAATGCATCCAAATTCAGTTACCTAACACTGACATAGGGTCCATAGAAATTTCTCAACAGGTAGCACTAAAGGACTACTAAAACCAAATTACTTGTCCAAAGAGGCAGGTTGGTTACCTTCCATGCCAATCAGTAGTAAGTTGGATGTCAGCTGACCCCAGCCTCGCTTCACCTGCTGTCTGTTAATCCAATTCCAATTAAAGCCCAGGAAATCTACCACAATTTTCCTTCCAACCGTGTCATTTAAGGTCTGCTGGAGATATAACCTGTATATACCAGAAAATAATGAAAAAAAAAAAGAAATGCAAACGTGTGTGCAAAGATATATCCAACTAGCTTTTTCATTATCGGTCAATCAACTGCATAGTTCTTTCAGAAATGATAACAAAACCTAGCTTACAGAGCTGGAAAAAGAATTGTCATGAGTATTATACTACCAACAAATGACTAGTGGTCCTTGAAAAAAAAGAATGAAATCTTACGTTTCTGGGGTCCTGTATAGGTGTTATGGGTCAGAAGTCCAGACAATTCAACACAGTAATTCTTCTGGACTTCTCAGAGCTTTCAGTATCACCAACCTATAATGTGGGCAATGCAGTGTCAGGAGATAGCATTTTTTTACTTGGGAAGCCCATCTCATAACTGAAAAAAAAAATGCTGATTTTTTTTTTTTTAAAAAAAACTAAACGATGTTTACCTTCAGCAGCAGGAAAGCAACAGAGTTCTGGGCCTACACAGCAGTGTCACTGCCTCCTCCTCCTCTGCCACCACATGAGTGCAGACTATTCCTCAGAAAGGACAGAGAGAGGACAGGAAGGAACAGCATACAGCCAGAGGTCTGCTGCCTTCCAATCTGTCAAAACTGAAACATAAGAAAGGAAACAAGTTTGCTTTAACGGCTGGGTAATTTTGCCGGATTTGGAATGGCAGTGCAGAAACACCTGACAGACGAAAAGGCAATAGAAAATGCATCTGTACCTAGAGCAGGGGGTCTTCAAACCTGGCCCTTTTATGACTTGTGGACTTCAACTCCCAGAATTCCTCAGCCAGGCACGCTGGCTGAGGAATTCTGGGAGTTGAAGTCCACGAGTCATAAAAGGGCCGAGTTTGAAGACCCCTGACCTAGAACAACAAGGATCAATACATGGTGAAAAGCAACTACCAAAATAGTAAACAACACTGGGAAAACACAGTTTGATTAGGAAGATGCTTTTATGTAAGTATAAATTTCACTGTGCTCATGCAACACAATCAGGTTAAAGATGCAGCAGGTGCATTAAATCTGGTGGTTTTTTTAATTAATTTTTTATTAATAATACAAAATTAAAAACACATTGGACATAGATATGACGTCATTGGTTCCATACATCTTCCAACATTTTACAATAGTATTAGTACTCATATAGACATATAGTTCTTGAACTTTGCTCACTATTTATAATGTACTATTAACACTTTTTCCCTTATTTCTATGTATCTATTTATCTTTTAAATATACATTTGTCTATAATCTATATTTTAGTCTAGCACTATACATTTATCTTGGCTACCCTCTTATTGTCTATCCAATCATAAAATTATTCCCAGATTTTATAGTACTTGGTTTCACTTTTGTCCTTGAGTTCCCATGTAAGTCTATACAAGGGGTAGACAACCTCGGCTCTTTTATGACTCATGGACTTCAACTCCCAGAATTTTGGATAGACCAGAGGTTGCCTACCCCTGGTCTATCCATTTCAGCGCAATTGAAAATTTTCAATAATATTTCCTCTTCGGTTGGAGTATCTTTTTCTTTCCATTCTTGAGCGAAGGCTATTTGTGCCGCTGTTACTATATGCAGTAGTAAATAATTTGTGTCTTTCTTATATTTTCTTTCTATAATTCCCAATAAGAAAAATTCCGGTTTGGTTTCTATATCTATTTGCAAAATTTCTTCCAACCACTTCTTTAATAAGTTCCAAAATTTGTGTGCCTTTGGGCATTGCCACCATATGTGGTAGTAATTCCCAACGGTCTCTTCACACTTCCAGCATATCGAGGATTTCCCCTTGTTCATTCGTGCTAATCTTGTGGGAGGGAGGTGCCACCTATAAAACATCTTATAGAGGTTTTCCTTATAGGAGGTTGCTAGAGTAATTTTTAGATTTTTTTCCCCATAAACTTCGCCAAATATCCAAATCAATATTGTGCCCAAAATATTTACAACAAATTATCATCATTTGTTTCACCTGTTCCTCAATCATATCTTCCTCTAATAAATATCGATATAATTTACTTATAGTCTTGCCTTCCCTGCTAAATAAGATTTTATCTAATTTTGAAGAGTCTTGCTTTATGCCCCGTTCCTTTTTGTCTTTATTAAATTTGGATTGAATTTGAAGATACACCCACCATTCCAGATCAATTCCTCCTTCCTTTAAGGCAGTGGTTCTCAACCTTTTAATGCCGCGGCCCCATAATACAGTTCCCCATGTTGTGGTGACCCCCAACCACTTATACATCACCGGGTGCCAGGGGTGTGGCCAAAGAAAAGGGGGAAAAAATGGCGGACAGCCTTGTTTGGCGACCCCCGTGAAATGGTCGTTCGACCCCAAATGGGGTCCCAACCCACAGGTTGAGAACCACTGCTTTAAGGTATTTCTCGCTTTTAATTCTCCTTTCTCATTCAAAATATCTTTAGAGGTGACAGCACCCCCACGTTTTATCAAATTTGGATGTGTATATATTTCTAATGTAGACACCCAGTTGGGGATTTTCCTATAATTATTACTTTTTATTTTTTCCAGATATCCAATAATGCTCTCCTAATATAATGCTTCCGGAAGTGTTGCTGGACTAAATGTCTGTCTTTCCACAAAGTAGCATGCCACCCTGTCTGTAGGTCATGACCTTCTAGTGCTAATAATCTTGTATTTTTGAGATGCATCCACTCGCTTAGCCAGACCAACACCGCTGCCTGATAATACTTTGTCCAGTCTGGTAGGCCAAATCCTCCTCTTTCTCTAGCATCTTGTAATAGTTTTAATCTGATTCTCTGTCGTTTCCCTTGCCATATGAATTTTGAAATAAGTCTATCCAAATTTGTAAAAAAAATCCTTTTTAAGCCAAACTGGTATGCACTGAAATAGAAACAATATTTTCGGAAGAACATTCATTTTAATGGTGGCTATCCTACCCATTAAAGATAACTGTAGTTTCCCCCAATTTCCCAAATCAGACCTAATTTGCACCATTAATTTATCATAATTGTCTTCTTTCAGAGTGATGCATCTCGCTGTCAACTGGATTCCCAAATATCTTTTTTTTTTCGTAATCTGCATATTTATCCTTCCCTCCTTTTTTTTGCTCTTCAGTCATATTTTTAATTATCATTTTTTTTTATCCTTATTTATTTTCAGGCCTTCTACTTCTCCATAGTCCTCCACCACTTCCATCAGCCTAAGAACAGATTGTACAGGCTCTTCAATAATAAATACAAGGTCGTCCGCAAATGCCTGTACTTTAAAACTTTCTTTTCTTACTTTTAAATCTTTAATTTGTTTGTCTTCTCAAATTGTTCTATGTAAAATCTCTAATGATAAAATAAAAAGCAGTGGAGATAGCAGACAGCCTTGTCTAGTGCCTTTTTGAATTAAAAAGTTCTTTGTCATTCCCCCATTTATCACCACTCTAGCTTCTTGTCTGAAATAAATTGTTTGGAACATCTTTATAAATTTTTCCCCCAAATCCATATATTTTAATTGTTCTAGTATAAAGTCTTTTTGCGCATCAATGAATATCAAGCCATCTGTTTTTTGTTATGAGCTTCATAATATTCTATCCTGTCCAAAATAATCCTAATGTTATTCCTTACAGTATATGCCGTCCAGGAAGGAAGCCGTTTTGGTCAGTATGAATGAAGTTCTCTAAAATTTTCTTTAGTCTATCTGCCATAATTGTCATGAATATTTTATAATCTGAATTTAGTAAGGATATCGGTCTATAGTTTTTAATATAAGTCAAATCAGAATTTTCTTTGGGAATCAATGTGATTGTTGCTTCTTTCCATGATTCAGGTATCTTGGCTTTATTCAGTACATCATTGTACACCTCTAACAGCAGTGGGCTTAATATTTCCTGATGATTTTTATAGATTTCTGAAGGTAGACCATCTGGACCTGGTCTTTTGTTACTTTTTTGTTTTTTAATTGCCTCAGATATCTCCCTTACTGTTATCTCATTATTTAATACATTTTTACCTTCCTCTGAGATTCTGGGCAGGTCTGCTTTTTGAAGGTGTTGCACCATCTTGCCTTCTTCTACCTTTTCCTTATCCTCATAAAGGTTTTTAAAGAACTCATACGCTACCTTCCTCTTTTCCTCATTTTGGTAAATTAACTCTCCTTCATTATATAATTGGCTAATCTGGTTCTTTTCTTTCCGTTTCCTTAGTCTATAAGACAGCCATTTTCCCGGCTTATTTGCATTTTCAAAAAAAAATTGTTTAATGTTTTTAATTTGTTTTGTGCCATATTTTCCTTTTCAATGATATTTAGTTTATGTTTAATTATATCTATTTGATGTTTCAGTGCCCGTTTTATGGGTTCTTCCTGCAACTCCCTTTCCAGTTTACTAAGTTCTTCCTCTAAGTTTTTTTGCCGTTGTCTTTTTTGTTTGTTGTCTTTGGCCATATATGACAGGGCTTTTCAACCTTTTCACCCATTGTACCACTTTTAGGATATGGCAATATCCGAGTACCACTAGTCGCCTAGCAAGGTGTCAAAAATTTGATGACCAAAAAAAAAAGGAAAAAAGTGATAAAGTACAGGTAGTCCTCGACTTACAACAGTTCGCTTAGTGACTGTTTGAAGTTACAATGGCACTGAAAAAAGTGCCCCCCAAGCCACAGCCGAGCAAGACACCTGCCTGCTTGCCTGGCCGCGCTCTTCCTCCTGTTCGAGGTTTTCATTGTTGTGAGCATTTCTGTTGGGGATTGGCAGCAAAGGTGAGGTGGGAGGTGTTTGGTTTTAATTCCACCCATCTGCTGGGTGGTTGCAGCAGGTTTTGGTCACTTCACATTATCCTGGGACACTGTGACCATCATAAATATGAATCAGTTGCCAAGCATCTGAATATAAATCACAAGACCCTGGAGATGTTGCAACATTCCAGCTGATCGGCGCTTCTTCTGGGCTCAGCAGAAGCACCAGGATCAGCTGGAGCCCGGTGCTGATCCTGGTGCTTCCACTGAACCCTGACAACCCTGAAGCAGCGCCAATCAGCTGGAAAGCAGCACTGATCTTGGTGCTTCCGCTAAGCCCTGACAGCCCTGCAGCTCCAGCCATCTTTCGCTCAGGCTGCCACCAGTTCAGCTTATTCCCCTCCCCCACTACTTTTCTAGGATGGTCACGTACCACCTGCCAGGTGCCAATGTACCACAGGTGGTACCCGTACCACTGGTTGAAAAGTCCTGATATGATATTGCAGTACCCCTCATAAAGGCTTTTGCCGTGTCCCACAGATTCTGGTTATTCTTATTACTTTAAAAAAACAAGCTCATATGATCATCCATCTTTAATTTAAATTCATCTTGGTTAAAAATTGCTCTTTTTAGGGTCCATCTCCTTATCTTTTTTTGCCCCTTCCATTTAATTTTAATGGGATTATGGTCTGCCCACAAATTTATGTCAATATTAACTTCAATTCCCAAATTCACCTGTGTCGATGCCCAAACCATATCAATTCAAGACCAAGATTGATGTCTACCTGAACAGTAAGTATATTGTTTCCTATCTCCATTTCTTTCCCTCCAACAATCCTTTATATTTAATTCTTCCACCATCTCAAAAAATGAATTAGGTAATATCCTTCTAACCTCTTTCTTTCGTCTGTTATTTCTATAATCTAGTTCTTTGTCTACAATCGCATTAAAATCCCCAACTATACACAGATTAACACATTCTAAGTCTCTAATCATGTTATACAGTTTCTTACAAAATAGTTTTTGACCCTTGTTAGGTGCATATATTCCAACATCAGTTTTTTCCCATCCACAGTTAGTTCTATTATCAATATTCTGCCCTCCTCATCTTTATACACCTGTTTGGCCAAGATACCCTCTTTTACATACATTACAATTCCCCCTTTCTTCTGTTGCGATGAAGAGGTAAACGTCTTTCCTAACTTGGAACATTTTAACAAATATTGATGCTGCTGTTTTATGTGCGTCTGTTGCAACACTACTATATCCACATTTGTCTTATACAATTTACTAAAAAAAATATTTCCTTTTCCCTGGAGAATTTAACCCATTAATATTTAATGATAGAATTGCTAATGCCTCTTGAAAACCTCTATTTATACTTAGGGTTTGTTGCCCTCGTTTGTCTAATTTCTTTGTACTCCTTGCGTCCACCATCATTGTCTTTTCCAGTGTCCACATTCGCTTTTTCCCCGTTTTCTTTTTCCTTGATTCGGGATTCCCCCCTATTTGGTGACTGTTCTCCTGGTTCTCCTTCTTCCCTTCTTTCTCTTTCCTCTGATTCAGCCTCACTATCAATTTTTTTTCTGTAAAACTCTTCTACTTTGTCCACCGTGTCCAATCTCAACTTTCTTTCTCCCCAAAATACCATAATCCCTTCTGGAGTCAACCACCGAAAATTTACATTTTTCCTTGTTAGTTTTGCTGTAAACATTTGATAGGGTCGCCTTAGGTCTCTTACACTTTTCAGGACTTGTTTAAGCACCACAAGCTGTCTTCCTCATAGCTCTAGTGGATCTTCTCTAGTCCTATGAAGAATCTCATTGCGTGTCGATTTTTTAGCAAATCTAATATGCACTTCTCTAGGTAAATTATATCTACGTGCGTAGTTCGTGTGAATTCTATAGATTCCATCCATGTCCTTAATCATTTCTTCCTTCCCAGTTCCAATAGCTCCGCCATCATCTCCAGAAGATCTTCATTCTTTCCTTCCCACATATTCTGAAATCGTAGAAAATGGGAAGCCTTGTCTATTTCCAATTGGATTATTGTCTGTTTGAGGTCTCTATTAGCCTGAATTAGTCTTTCTTCCATCTCCTCCACTTTCCTTTCTTCTCTTCCCATTCTATCTTCCATCTCCTGTAGTTTTTGTTCATTTTTTAAAATTTGTTGCTGAAAGCGTTCAAATTTATCATCCCTCGATCTCATCTTTTCTTTCATTTCTCCCATGTCATTCCTTACTTCTATCTCTCGTTTCAAATCCTCAGGGTTCTTTAACATAGCCTCCTGTATTGCTTGTAACATCTGTTGTAGATCCTTAAATGAATTTGACCTCTCTCTCTGTAAAAGTCCTTCCGTAGATCTTTTGCCCTGCTGGACTTGGTTCCATTGTTGTAGTTTGGATTCCTTGCCTCTTTCCTGTACCAATTTTTGTCAAATTTGGGATGCTTGTCATTTTTAATACTGCTTTAAATTAACTTTTCCACTACAGTTCCTCTACAACTGTTTTATTAAGTTTCCCGTATCCAAAATTACTCTTTGAGTTTCCTCAATTTATAAGTCAATTATTAGCAAGCCCTCCGAAATAGATCTTGTTTCTCTTCAAATTTCCTCTTCTTCCTTAAATTATCACCAGTTTTTTCCCTCAGCCACTAGATGTCTCTTACTCCTTCTTATCCAAGTTAACAGTCAATCTTACTTCAACATGTCTGCGTTCTCTGATTAGTCAGCACTTTCACCCTGAACTAAATTATCAGCAATAGTAGATTTCCTCTTCCTCTTTTCCCTCACGCCACCGGTGAAAATTTACTGCGCTCAAATAGTCTGGTGTTTATTGGTGTTAGAATTGGGAAGAAAAGGTTTTTATGTGTGTGCATGAATGACTTAGCACATTGCATGAACTTATACTATATGGCCTACACTACATCACTGTTGTGTAAACACACTGAAGGAAATAAAAGTTATTCTTTTATAAAATTGTAGGAAAATAATTGTAGAAATGTAATGCCAATATACGAGACTGTCTATTTAACACAAATGTAACACTTTACGCAAATGTAGCAATGCACTGCCAAATGTGTGAGGAGGTTTGTTCAATGTTCACTGCCTAAAAATCCTTCCAGAAACAGGAACTTACACTTTGCTGGCTCAGGAATTCTGGGAGTTGAAGTCCACGAGTCATAAAAGAGCCAAGGTTGCCTATATGCAAAAAACCCATCGCACTCTGCCAAGCTGGAACCTAGCAGATGAAGCCAGAAGCAAATCCCACATTAGCCCCTTATTCCCCCCCTCTGATTATTCAGGTAACCATCAGGTGTTTATTACCTTTTTCTACCTCCCTGCTGCTTGCTTTCTTGGAGCTGTGCCACAAAATCCCCGAACTTCATCTCCTCTCTGCTGGATTTCGGTTTGAAGTTTTTCACGTTTGCCATCTTCTTCTCGTCGTAGTACAGAAACTTGTGGGTACTGGCTCGGTACACCGAGAAGTCCCCGTTCCCAATATTCTCCTGGAGGTAATCCAGGTCCCACTTCAGGGCGGGATAAACCAGATCGGTGTCGGTGAGCACCACCGGCTCCTGGAAGCAAAGACAGAGCGGAGGTCAGGCAAAGGAAGAGCCCGCCGAAGCGACGCGGCACCCCCAACACCACCCCACCCCCGGCACCAGCCTCGCGCGGCGGCTCGAGTCCCCCATCCCCGGGGCAGCGTCCTCCCGCCACCTCGTTCTCCAGCAGCTCCTCGGCGCGCGGGTCTCCGTGGCGCAGCCGGGCGATGGGCCGCGTGGCGAAGCTGTAGTGCCGGAACTGCGCCTCGCTCCACCCGCGCCGCTCCTCCGTCTCCGCCGCCGTCGAAGCCTCCGCAGTTACGGAGCGAGACGCGGATGCCTCCTCCATCGCTACCGGATATAGCGCCGCCTCCGACGCTGCCGCGCCCGGAAGCCGACGAGGCACGCATCCGGGAGTAGGCTTGGCGGGCCGGAACTTCCGGCGCGGAGTTGCCCGCTCTAGGAAATAGGACCCGGGGAATGTTCAGCGCCCCCAATCTGTAATGAGCCAACATTATTTTAAGAGAGAGAAAATACATCGAATTAAAATACGAAATAACTGTGTTAGTTAAATGACAAAAGTCAGGGCTGGCCCCTGTCAGCCGGATTCAGCAACTCAATAAGTAAATTTCTCGGTTGCTTCTGTGTGAAGCAACTTTGCAAAACTTTTATTAAAGAAAAGTCTGGGAAACTGATTAGGTATTTGCCCACATGAAAATGAAAATGTAAATACCCTCTAGGGGCCAATATCAAATGGCAGATTTCCAAGAAAAAGGAGCTGAAAGAGACCTTTCTTGAAGTCAAAAGTCTCTTCTTTGAGGAAGGCTGGCTAGGGAATCCTGGGAGCTGAACTCTACACATCTGAAAGCTGCCAAAGAACCATTTAATTCAGTGTTTCTCAACCTTGACAATTTTAAGGCATGTGGACTTCAACTCCCAGAATTCCACAGCCAGCAATGCTGACTGTGGAATTCTGGGAGTTGAAGTCCATATGCCTTAAAATTGTCAAGGTTGAGAAACACTGATTTAATTAGATTATACAGACTCCTTTTTCACAGTGGTCTCGTCTGGACATGGGATCATCAGGGGTAGGCAACTTTGGCTTTTCTAAGGACTCGTGGACTTCAACTCCCAGAATTCCTGAGCCAGCCATGCTGAGGGAAAAGGGAGAGGTTTCCAAGCTGAGCCATGCCGGCTCAGGAATTCTGGGAGTTGAAGTCCACGAGTCATAAAAGAGCCAAGGTTGTCCACCCCTGTAGTGGATTAACTTTGCCAGGATCTACATGGGGATACTACCCCTCTCCTGGTCTTAATAGCTCGGACAGCTGCTTTTAATACCATTTAATACTTTTAATCAATGTTTTTCGTGCATGTACTGTTTGTATTTAAATTGTGAGCAGCCGAGTAGGTTGCAGTGCCCTCACATACACTGGCTGAGATACATAAAATACATAAAATAAATATGCGGGGCTCCTGGGCTCTCCAGGTGGCTACGGAGGAATAAAGAGGTTCCCCAGAGCACCCGGGGAGGCGAAGAGACATGAACCCTCGGCAAAGAAGATACCCGTAAGATTCGCATCCTTCCGGCTTGAGAAGCGCAGTGGGGTCAGACCTGGCGTCTGGCGCCTCCTCACGGCGCAAACTGTTTCCGGGTGAGCCATGAAGACAGCGGCTCTCTTTCAGGGAAACTCTATGGCCGACTAGAACTCCTCCAGCCTTCAGCTTCGACCCGGCGCCCGCCCTTGACAGACGCGATGGCCGCTGTCGTTGCGCTGGGCCGCCTCCGCGCCGTCCTCCGCCCGCTCGCCTGCCCATTGACACCGGGATATGGCAGCAGCAGCCGCCTCGGTCCGTGAGTGCCTCTGCGTCCCGGGCGGGGAAAGGAGGAGACCTTGCAGGTTGGGCTCTGGGAGGGACAGACGACCCCACCACACACACATTGCGGAGGCCGCTCTGGGCAGCCCGCCTCGTAGGGCTCCGTCTGCTTCCCAAGCGTCTCGTGTGACGGGAGCATCAGGCCGCTCCTTTGCCGTAGGACGGGTAGACAACTTTGGCTCTTTTATGACTCGTGGACTTCAACTCCCAGAATTCCTGAGCCAGCAGGGCTCAGGATGGAAACCTCTCTCTTTCCCCTCAGCATGGCTGGCTCAGGAATTCTGGGAGTTGAAGTCCATGAGTCATAAAAGAGCCAAGGTGGCCTACCCCTGGGCTAAGCCTGTATTTCTCAACCTTGGCCACTCGGAGATGGGTGGACTTCAACTCCCAGAATTCATGAGCCAGCATGGGTCAGCATGGAAACCTCCTTTTCCCCTCAGCATGGCTGGCTCAGGAATTCTGGGAGTTGAAGTCCACGAGTCATAAAAGAGCCAAGGTCGCCTGCCCCTGCCCTAGGAAAGGCATCAATCTCAGCTCAAAATGTGTGTAAATAGTTCGTATTTATGACGGTTGCAGTACCCCGGGTCAGGTGACCGTTCTTTGCGACCTTCTGACAAGCAAAGTCAATGGGGAAGCCAGATTCATTTTAACAACCACGTTACTAATTTAACACCTGCAGTGATTCACTTAACACATGTGGCAAGGAAAGTCATACATTGGGACAACATTCACTTTAACAAATTTCTTAATTAGCAACATAAATTTTGAGCTTAATTGTGGTTGTAAGTTGAAGACTACCTGTACCTTGTTGGTCAGTAAAAATAAAGAGAGCCACTTTGGGGGGGGGGGGGGTTGTAAAATTTTTATTATTTTTTTCCATATAATTCAATAGTGCTTAATCAACAGCGTGTTGTCTGAGTTTATCATTCACTAATACAAATTTAATTCCTAAGTGTTTATTCTTTTCTCCAACTATTGATAAAACAAGTCCCAAGTCTGATAGTATTCTGTTTCTTCTTTTTCTTTCAACCTCATAGTCAGCCTGTCCATTTCTGCACATTCTAATATTTTTTAATTATTTGTTCTAATGGTAATTCTTCCCTTTTCCAATATTGTGCAAATATGATTCTTACCGCTGTTATCACATGTAAAATCAAATATATACTTTGTTTAGCAATCTTTTCTGGCATAATACCTAATAAAAAAAGTTCCGGTTTAAAATCTACATGTTTTCCCAACATCTTTTCTAGCCAAGTATGTATTTTTTCCAGTACCTCTTTGCTTCAACTCATGTCCACCATACATGATAATAAGTACCTGCCTTATATTTACATTTCCAACATCTATCTGACATATTTTTAAACATTTTTGCCAATCTTGCTGAATGGCAAGTGCCATCTATCAAACATTTTATATAAATTTTCTTTATAAGAAGCTGCTATTGTCAGTTTATAATTTCTTTCCCACAGATTTTGCCATTTTTCTAATTCTACATTATATCCAAAGTTCTTCACCCACATTATCTTTGTTTCTTTAACTTGTTCATCTTCCATTTTCAAATTCAATAAAAATTTATAAATTTTCTTAATTAATTTCTCATCAGAGCTTAATAATGCCTGATCAAACAAGGTCTGCTCTTTATAAAATCCATTCAGTTTGACATCTTTATCATATCTAACTTGCATTAATAAGAATGGATAACTCTCAGAAACTAAAGGTTGTTATATTTGGAGGGATATGATTTACAACTTGGTTGGCACATGGTATGGGAAAAATAAAATGCATATTTTCAGAACCGCTATATAAGAAACACATTACTATTAACATGGGGAAAGATAAAATGTAAAATATATTTGAAAATACGAGGATGGCTTTCAACAATGGAAGCATTTATACATCCAAATTTAGTTAACTGTGAGAAAATATGGACATATAGAGATATAAAGAGAGCCACTTTGGTCTAGTGCAGTGTTTCCCAAACTTGACAATTTTAAGGCATGTGGACTTCAACTCCCAGAATTCCACAGCCAGCGTTGCTGGCTGTGGAATTCTGGGAGTTGAAGTTCTCATGCCTTAAAATTGTCAAGTTTGGGAAACACTGGTTTAGTGGTTAAGGCACCACACTAGAAAGCTATTCTATTCCATTCCGTTCCATCATGAGTTCTAGTCCTGCCTTAGCCATTGAAAGCCAGTTGGCTACTTTGGGTCAATCCCACTCACCTCACAGGGTGGTTGTTGTGGGGAAAATAAGGGAAGGAAGATGTGTTGAATATATTCACCGACTTGACTTATTTGTAAAATACAGGTTATATATAAATAAGTAATCCAGACTTTATCATCTGCTCTGCACATCTTTTCTCTACACTATCTTTGAGCTATTGCTCTTTCTGCTTTTAGCTTCGGATCTGCCCAAACATCTGCTTCCAGGGGCATACCCCAAGACTCCAGAAGAGCAGGCAGCTGCTTCAAAGAAATACAACCTGACACTGGAGGACTATAAGCCATATGCAGATGATGGTTTGGGGTAGGTTGCATTTGTATATCCAAGAAACCAAATATTGTACAAAGTTAGGAACAAATGTTGTGATTTCAGGATTGTGGAGCGTTTGTCTCTATATGCCTATCATAGCCTCATAATAATAAGTGACTTCCATAGTTGGCATTCATTGGGAAATGAGTACAATCTTTAAAAATATTAATCTAGGTTAAAGGGGGATTTACATTTGGAAGGAATAGTGGAATCACCTCTGCCACGTTATTTAAATCAGAAATGTAAATGTTCACTTAGCAGTTTGTGTATTATTTCCAATGGTACATATGCCCAGTATGCTGATCTAAATCATGGAAGGTCCTGTTCCCCTCACCAAGCATTTGTAACAACAGTGTGTTAATCAGTGTGGCTTGCTTTAGAATTAAACTATTAATCAGTTCATTGAATTGTTAGTATGGCTTCCCTTAGAATTAAATTGGAGCCCGTTCTAGCCTTGTAATTTCAAAAATCAAAACGTTAAATTTTCTTGTTTCATCAAGTGATAAATATCCTGCATTTCTTTGATGAACAATTGTTTTTCTTAAAATGTTGGAACAAGATTGTATCATGCTGAATTTGCAACAAAGGGTGAAAAAATGTACTAGTTTGATAGAGGAGACATTCCTAGCAGGAATGCTTGTTTAAGTTAAATGTGTAAGATAGTCAAATGTTTGTTGGTTGTATTAATTATTTTCTCCTCCGTTTTAGAAGACTGAATTCATCCGGCAGTTACTTTGTCTAAAATAGGAATAGGCAATATGTTTGTGATCAGATCCCCATACTTAAAAATGCACAATTCAACCTGCAAGAGACAAAGGAACATGATAGTGTGATACTCTTGTCATTGCAAGGCTTAGCGATCATTTTCAGCCCTCTTGTCAAGTTTTTTACGTTTGGCAGACAGAACATTATCTTTTTGCTTATTTTAAATCACTAGTAAATTGTATTGTTATTTGTTGATTTAAGCACTGAAAAGATTTAGGAGCAACTTGGGTCCATA